GACAGTGTTAGTATGTGGCTCTGATGTAGAAAAGTGTGGCCTCCAAACTGATTAGGAGTAGAGACATTTTAGGATTACAAGGTTCGAAATTCTTCTGAATCACTCCATCTAAACTGTACCTGAACAATAATCGGCAAATACGCTTGGTCTTCTGTATCACTGATTGTATAAATGTTCCTAGGGGAATCAAAGCATAGGATGAGGTTACTAGCTGAGATACACATTCACCTCTTCCTAACAGGTATGAACATTTGATTCCTGTGATGGGTGTGAAGTTTGCATGCAATAGACATAAAACATAGTAACAATATCCAAATCATTTTATTAATTACTTACAACCCTTAATATCACTAGCAACGATCAGTTGATAAATTTGAAAGAACACAATTTCCATGACAACACAAAACAAACACAACAATATAACAAATATATTAGTTGAATAGATGACTAGTTTTCACAAATTCCAGGATAATAAATCATTCAAATTCATAGTTTATTTACATCTTTTATTACAAATTCTGATTAATTTCTAATAAATTATTTTGTATAAATTTTTTTTAACCTAAATTAGATATTACAGTAATAAATAATTACGATGATGGTTGGAGGCAGTCAACAGGAAACCCTGGACCTGGGTTTCGTGCTACTTGGCACTCGTCAGCAAGGTTTACCTGTGGTCTTGAGGGATCTGATGCCCCATGACGGACTCGATCCCGTGTCACCCAGCTTCACAGTCAGAGACGTTACCACTGGGCTATCTGGGTCACAACCGACCTCCTGTGGGACTGATTTGTAATCACAATTGACTGATCGCTGGGTGGTGAACAATGTCATGTGTGTCAAATCCTTCTTAGTACAGATAGAATGCTATCGACCAACATAGTGCACGCAATGTCGAGTCACCCAGACTACTAGGCACATTGCAACTTGGCCGATAGCATTCGATCTGTACTAAGAAGAACTTGACACACATGACATTGATCACCACCCAGTGATCAATCAATTGTGAGTAATAACTAATTGTTAATCTTAACAAATTTCACTGAAGTTCAGTGTTTTTCTGATATTCATTATCATTTCGAAATTTATCATTGATTTTGTAATCAAAAACTTTTCTTCAGATCTTATGTACATGAGATATGATTTAAATAGCTGAAATAGAGTGTTCAGTACAAACCAATCTGGATTTAGATAAAAACTTTCAACTTCTTTTTCAGAAAATCCCAGAATCGAATGATTTTATTTTTCTTTATATAAAAAGTCAAATGGAAGTAACTTTTTTATGATGCTCAGAAAGTTCAAAGCTGATAAATAAATTACTTTCTTTTCATTATATATTAACAAAACTGACAGTATTAAGCACTTTCTGTAAAGATTGTGCGTAATATGTAAATAAATAATATTTTGCTTCAGTTTACTTCGTACACGGTAAACGTACAAATAAGTAGTTTTATTTATGGTTCAATGAATAAAAGAACATTTGGTGAAGTAGGAATGTCAAAATAAATAACGAATTCATCTGTGAACTCTTCTTTAGTGTTATCTTTTAATTCTATGCTAACTAGTTAGTCCAATTATTAATATGCATTTTGTAGATAATGATGAATTTTCTATCAAACTCTTTATAGCTAAGAGTAGGATTCAGAAAGGAACTCTCTAGCATGTGTAAAATCTCTATATTCAGATAAGTGATGTTATGTAGCAATTGCTTTACAATGTCAAGATTGAAAGACTGATATTAGGCGTAATATTAGTAGTACACATTCTAAAACTAATAAATTTGAACAGGTTTTATTAATTCCACTGCGAAATATTTTGTTTTATGTAGACACTCTGCACGTTGGTTTCTGAGTGAACTTAAAATCACATGGTCATTTGAACAATCACTCAAGCTTGTTCCCTTTGTTTAAATATTTAAAGACTGTTTACTATAAATAAATATTGAGCTTCCATAGTATGTAATAGTTGAGTTGGTTAAGGCACTTCCTGAATAAAGTTAGCTTATTTAATTACGACAGAGTTTTAAAATCAATATCGTTTGGAGGATCAGTAGATATCAAGTAAGTTCTAAAGTAATTTAACTTATTGATATGAAAATGCCTATCATTTTGGATAATTCATTTAAATTCTTATCAAAAACAATTTATAATTGAACTCCGGAACTGGAACAACACACGATCATTAATTGATATTATAGACTGATTGATTCAACAATTTATTTCTGGTAAATTTCATAACTTTTTCCATTCTTAATCAATTAATTATCTAACGTTATTTTCTAGTACTATAGAAAAGTATTTGTAACAGTCCATAGTATTCATCAACGTAACACAATAACAATATTGTTCGTAGTTATATAAGTTAGCCTGAATAAACCTAATAGATGTTGTTAACATTCTAAATTTTGAATTTACAGACTAAACTTACAACAACAACGTTTACGCCAATTATTCTGTTCTCAAATTTAAATAAAATAAGCATGATGCTGATCACTGAATATAATGAATTCTTTGTATTTCATTGGTTTCTCTTCAACTATGGACAATTATATAAGTTTAATAAGACGAAGATTATCAGAACTATGTGATGATATATTAGCGCAATATATTTCGAACAATCTGATCACACATTACATATTTGTTAAGAACATTTATATATAAAAATAAATGGTCAACCAGATTGGAAATGAGGCAAGAGGAGACAAGGATAGTAAAGAAATAATGTGAAAACAATTTGTAAGCACATCACTGTAATATTACCAGGGTAGGTTTAAGGTGAGCACAAACTGTTTTTTTTATTATACAAAAGGGGTTTGAATTTTTGTATGGTTAAAGCTTATTATACGCTCTTTTTGCAGTTTTGATGAACACTACAAAAGCCGAGTTAAGATCAATCTTATGACCTGTTTCAATTATCTGTTTTGATCAGAATGTTCGAAATATGTTGCGCTAATATATCATCACATAGTTCTGATAATCTTCGTGTTCTAATTACACTATCGAAATTTACCACAGAGACTAATTGCCTTATATAAGTTTAGCTATTTTAAAGTACTATTAGTATTAATTTAAAATGTAACTGTTGATTATAATTAAAATTTGGTGAGTTTAACCCAAATATTTTCTTTCGAAATTTCTTCTACATTTTCTTTTCATAATGTTACATAATGAAACACAACGAAACTTAAAAAGAACTGATCAGACTACAGTGTTAGATCTCTTTCTATTTTAAAACTTCAAGTTTTATGACTCTCATTAGTTTCTTTTTTAAACTTACACCAAGAAATTAACTGTTGACCAAGCTTTTGATCAAGTAGATTCGTAGTAGTGGGAGATTGTGAAAATTGTTGAAGTCATGATTTCATTTAACAGATTGATGTTGGTTAGATATGATATTGGAAATCAACAAACACTGAATAGTTGTATCGTCCTATTACAAGAATAATTAGTAGCGCTTATTGACAAGCCTACTAAGTATCAAATTAAATAAATAAAGGTCTCGTCGTTAGTGAATATTCATTAGTAAAAAACTGTGGCCGGTAGAATTCAGTAATGTTGGTAGTGAGGCAGTTATTCACCAATGATAATGAATTTATGGTCGCGCAACATTACAAACTGATTAAATTAATAAATACAAACACTTGAAAGACAACTGAAAGTTCGGAAGACAATGGGATGGTCACAAGACGTAAAGGTATGTGGTTCAACCCCCGATGAGGTTATCGATGTGCACTGCTGTAGTTTTCTACAATTGGTCACTGGTATAAAATACCTACAAATTATATTTAGAAAGCCGACAGAGAAAACAGATACCTATCCTTCGAACTTTAGATATTTGGAGGCAATCGACAGAAGATCACGCACTTAACTTTCAGATTTTCCCAATAAACTATTCTGATCGTGGCTATTCTCATACAGGACTGAGATATTTACACTCACTGATTACTGGTCGATAATCATTGTAGTTCACTTCGTAGTGCATAATGATTTCTATCAATCAAGTTGCAATACGATCACTAGTGTACATGGGTTGATATTACATGCATACCATCCTGTATTGAATGATTGAAAGTAATCACTAGGGGACCTTGGAGATAAATTATATTATAAATGAATGGCTGTAATGCTGTGATCCATTTTTAGTGCTAAATGTTTTGGTAACATTTTAATAATTTATTATGATTAATGATCTGATAATTGTTGTCTTTATAAAAAACGGGACTGTGATAATGTCTGATTATCTCTTATCATTTAAAAAGGAGTTTCATGTCTCATTAAAATGTACTGTTCACTTAAAAATAGCACGATATTGTTAATCAAAATAAATACATACTTTCCCAGATACAGACTAAAAATGGGCACATGTATGAAGATGATATTTTTTCGAGTTATTTTGTTTAATGGTACTGGGTAGACAGAAACAAAAGATATATGACAGTCAAAATTTGTGTTTTAAATATTTATTGTATCGAATTTAGTATAAAAAACCGACTAATACAAGTTCTAATCTTATGATATTAATACACAACACCGTTGTCTTAAAGGAAATACAGTAAGTGTCCATCAATTAGAAGCGTACTTGTTTTCAATGTTCACTATTCGTGTGCGATCAAGAATTTTTGAACATTTTTCTACTGATTTAGCAGTTGATTGCTGAATGTAAAAGCATAATTTTCACTGAGAATTTCATTTCAAACTCTAACTTTCACTTTATTTCCTATTTTTATCGGACAAATTGGGATGCACTACTGTGGCGTACTGATAGAAGATAATTTAGATAGATTTAGATGTTTGAAATCCCCAGTGAAAATCATGGTCATTTTTCGGGCCCTTACCCAATAAATGACAGGGAAAATACTTGGAAATACAAGTTAATACACCGTTATCGAGCACCGATTAAATGATAATTAATCTCTCTCTCCCTCTCTCAAATTCTGCGTTATCAGAAAACTACTACTCATATACAGAATTATGTGATGAAAACGATTATATTCATCTTACCATTCTATTTAATTCTTCATGTAAATCACCTAGCTTCTTTTTTAATTCTGTACAATAATTGTTTAGCACATCATTAGATCTTTGCAATTCTACTGAATGTTTTGCAGCTTCTGTCGCTTTCTCACATATCAGTTGAAGTTGTTTATTCTATAAATAATAAAATAAAGCATAACATTTAATAGTGCGCATAAAACACAAATAATTCCATGTTTTACATACGAAAGCAGATAATATTTAAGTCGTGTGTCTGAATCAATTGGGCACTGGGTCAAAATATTAGAAAACACTGATTTGATTTCGATCATAATGCAGTCACTATATGAGTAAGTTTGTATTTCGATCCATCTCTGAATTAAAACGTTAACACAATTCTTAGTGACATTCTGCCTAAAAACAAAGTTGGGGTTATCTACGACGTCAAATATCAACTGATACCATAAAATGATATGATTATTATTAACTTACGGGAATTTGTGGATATTATAGGATTTTCATAGTTTAGATCACAACTTTTAGAGTTATAGTGAGAACCCTTAAATATTTGAGTCCAGCCACATTGCATGTGAGACAGTCATCCGCCGTGGTTAATAGATAAGGGTTGCACAATCTCGTGAGTCGATTGAAATTAGATATCAACACTGCTGGATACCAACTCAGTAGTCTAGAGACTAGGACTGAAGGTTCTGATTTCGGCCACCGGATGAAGGATTAGGGGTGTGTACTGCTAAGCAGTTCCATGATACGATGTTACAGACATCCAATGCTTTGAACGTGGTTTACCTATGGTCACTTCGTGGTTCAAACAATGTGAATATGCTTAAGTTGGATCTATCTAGTAATTAGTCAACCTATTGCCTGACTGAAATAATAAATATATAATTGCCAGAACACAGCATAAAAAGGTTACAATATTTGCCACCTTCCTTCCATAATGTTAAATAAAAGCTTGATAAAAATATGAAGACAAAATGGGTTTTTTAATCTCACAAGTTATGAAATATATGTGAATTCTCTAAACATGTATACAATCAGCATAACACTTTGTTGCCACTTTTATTCTGAGATTTAAGGCTATTGGGAATAGTCGACAAGAAAACCTTCTTCACCTAGGTATTGAGCTAGTTGGGAATCACTAGCAAATCACATCTGTAATCTTGAGTTCACTGTTATTCCCTACGGGGTTCAGAACTGTTTGAATCACCTTCACTGTCTAACATAACATTACATTGATTAGTACTCAGTGAACAATCGATTATAGATATACCAGTCCTACAGTAGATTCATCGCGGGCAGAATAGCCCAATGATAAAGTCTCACAATGTGAAGCTCGGTGACCATGTGCGAATCCACCAACTACTATCAGTCCCTTCAATATCATAGGCACGTCTTGCTGACGAGTGACAACCAGCACAAAATCTAGATCAATCACGGCTTCCTATTGTCTACCTCAAACAACTTAATATTCCAACACTGAGCACATGATGTCGCGTTACTTGACTAGTGGCCACATTACATCACGCCCAGTAAATTTCGGATAAAACTAAAGGAACACAAATATAAAATTGTTCACTACTCAGAGATTGATTAGTTACAATTTTGTTTTAATTTAACAACGAACAATCATCACAATTGGAAGATGTATATGCTTTGAGACAGATATGAACAATTAGTCACTAATAGAAAATGTGGTAATCTGATGTGTTAGTGGATTGAATATTCAACATAGTTTACAACCTGAACTTTCAACCAATCATAGAAATAGAACGCTGTTTCAACATTTAATAATGTGTCAGAAGGGGTTTTTGTGGATATTTTAGTAATTTTAATAGTAAAGATCATGAGTCAATTGAAGTTAAACCACCATGGAAAACCTGGGTTCGAATCTCGCGAGGCGGTATCGTAGATATGCACTCCTGTGGAGTCCCGCAATAGGACGAAACGGCTGTAATTGACTCATGATCTCAACTATTAAAATTTAATAATGTGTTAGATTATTCAGACCACACGTTATTCACCTAATGACTTATTTAGCTTAGTATGTCTAAAACACTAATTGTCAACAGCATGATAATAGATCTGTTTATATTGCCAGTTGTTAAATGTTTGTACGATACACAATAACCTAATTAAATGTGTTTTTTTAAATACATTTTATAAAAATCAGTCTTTTTTCATAATGGTTTATTCACTACAACACGTGATGTTCCGTTTCAACAATTTAATAATATATCGTATTTCTCCTTAAATAAAACATCTTCATTGATGGCATAATTAGTCACGTAGCTCCTTTTTTGCCCTTCCATAAACATTGAATGTGTTTAATTTCCAAATGTTAAGTGTAATTATACTTCGTGTATACTTCATGTATGCATGTATATAGGGATGGTTGGTTGTTCTTTGAATTTGCGCATTGAAGATATAATAAATAAATAAAACAAATCGTCTGAAAACTAGATATAATCCAATATGCTGAATATATTTCGAAGGATTTTCAGTAACATAACTACTAATTATTTATTATGATTATTGCTGAAAATGTCAGAACTAAATTTACTTGTTTCTTTTTTTTAATTATAACTAGGGAACATTTTAAAAACCATTAAAATAGAAGTTGTTTGCTCATTTAAATTTTATTTCAGTAGTTTGGTCGTACTTATCTCATTACAGATGTACCTATGTATCAGATTATATCTTGTATATAATTAAGTTACTGACTGAAGGATTTTTTGAAAGATGAAATAAGGGTCAATTTATGTCTATATTTTTCATTCATTTCAGTTTGTGGTGGGAACAAATAAGAAAAATATCAGTTTTTAGTATGACTTCACGTTTTTAAAAAAGTTTCGTATTCTCTGTAATTTGTCTATTTTGTTATGAAAGATAGAAATCAGTGATAAAAAGGAACAGGTTATAACCAGCTTACGAATGCTCTAAACTTTATACTTTATGTAAGTGGTAAATTCATATCACTATATCTTATCAATATGATATAGAAATGAAGGAACAGTTATAAGCAGAAATGCATGGTAACTACCAGTTTAATAAATACATACAATCGATTTGGCAAGAAAACAAAAATATTGTGTATCCGTTTTTCATCGTTCAGTATGTGTGCAGTATCGAGCATTTTCAAGCAGATTATCGTAAATTTCGTTGGTGAATGCTACGTGTAAGAGGTTTCCTTTAGAACTCTAAGTTTTATTTTATATGTTTTGATTTTCATCAGGCAATTTGAAATGAGGCATAGTGGTGTGATCGTAAAAGAGTAATCCTCAGTGAAATTAATGCTTATATATGTATTACTCAATCACTAACTGAATGGAAAAAGATTTACAATTTTCAGGTATTGCACTGTTTTAGAATGGCAAAATGTCGCGAGATAACTTGACATGTGCATGAAAAATTTACGCAGTACACAACGGCTGAGAACTTTGGGGGAAAATGGTAAACAGGAAAAGAATCATATTTGAAGTTGAGTACACCATGAATGGTGTCTTGAGATTGGCATAAACTAGATGACTCTACATTTTTGAGCATTTAATTATTCAATCTTAAACCCTTAAATTAGAAACCATTTTAATACTAGATGACATTCAAATCATTAAACACTAGTTTCATTTATTTTATTATCTCATTTTAATTATTGACAGTCATTCTTACCCACTACCCCACCCTATATTAAAAAATGTCACACACTCATTCAAGCACCAATTTAATTTGAGTTCTTCATTTGCCTGCGTAGTTCTAGTTGATTCCAAAAGAGCGACACCCTTCGATTGTGTGTTTTCATCAGTTGAATGGCTTTCTGAATATACTGTCAGTATATGTGTATTCACTGAGAAGAAAATACAACCTGTTATTTGTAATCGCACGATTTTAATCAAAGCCAATAAAAATACAGTCATCAAAACACCTGTTTCTGGTTTTTCATATTGAAATAATGTATTCTATCAACTGAATTTTCACAATCACACATAATTTACTACATTTAGCTACTAAGTACCTGCTTTCCAGGTGACCATTTTAAATTGTGTTATATCTTGATAAGAACCCTTGATTAACTGGACGATATAATTTAGGTTCAATTTCACAAAAAAATAATCACGTTAAGTGTGATAAAAATTTGGAAATTCGTCTAGCAAGATCTATCTGAATTCCGAATGAATTCACTCTCTAAATTGAATTGTCTATGCTTAACACTTACACATTAATCAGTAAAAAAAATGGATGTATTGTTCTCTAACTATGAATTCCATTCAGCCATGTTTATCTTACGACGATAAATATGAGACTAGAATTGAAGGAACAGTTATAAGCAGAGATGTACGATGACTAGCAGTAGAATCTGAAATGCGCGTTTTGTCCTATTTCGGACTCGCCAGCCGAATACACCTGCATCCCAGAGTTGATGTTCACTCCGAGACTCGAATCCAGTACTGTTCGCTTCAAACGCCGATGAGAGGATTAAAACAATCAGTGAAAAAATGAATCAGGGAAACAATAAATTACATAAGAGAAAAAACTATTCTGATATGCATATGTTTTATTGTATCTCACAATAAACGCGTTACCATTGCTTCTTGATTCGAGAACATTCCAGGATATTTACCGTGAACATGAAATACTTCCAAAAAGTCGGACAGTTTAGTTGCTTATCATAAATAGATATTGTTACATATTGTTACACAACTCTCCATAAGGAATCGTTTACTTAAAAAAATGTAATATCTTTACATACTTTTAAAGTAACTTCTTGTAATTCTAACTCTGTCTTTGCTAATTTTTCATTGGCATCAATTCTATCTTCTTCACTTAAAAGCCATGCTTTAGATAACTTCACCCGTTCATCAGTAGCATGTGATAATTCCTCATGAGTTTTTCCAAGATTTTGAGACAGTTCTTGAATATGTTCTCTTAGTTTTAGCTATAAAACAACGACTAACATTAAGTACACAAGCTGGGATACTTGTTTAAAAATAATCTAACTACTTATATTTCAATAGTAGTTTACAAATATTGCAAAAGTTACACCATCTTGATAATCTACCTACTTGAAACTATCAGTTTCGTTTGTCTGTTCTAATTAACCAATGTAAATGTCATTAGGTGATAGCCAATCTCCAATGTAGACCAGAATTGTTAGAAAAATCACAAAACAAATCAGCGTTTCATTATACAATCTATAAATTTTTATTATACTAACAATGGTTAGACCACATCTCTCAGAACCTGATATACACCCATCTCATAGTTAATCCGTAGAGTTTAATGCGAATAACCAAGAAGATAGTTACCACACCTAGCACACGTCGATTTATCGCCCAAATTTAACAGAAAGGCTACTAAAGCAATTAGATCATATATCCTCCAAGCAAGACTCATTATAAGTTTGTAAATTAAAATTCTTAGCTTATTAGATTAATCTTCACCTTTAAATACATTAGTTGATAGCGAATGAGATTATACATAGACGTACAGGGATTGCTATCAATTATGTGATGCTCTTTAATGGAAGATAGCGTTTCTAAAGTTTGTGGTTTGAGTAATCATGATAAACTATTCTGTTAGACTTGTGCACCGAAATAATTGATAATGAAGTCATCTCATAGGATTGCATTATTTACTTGATTGACTGGAACACCTCACTTGTAACCAGTATCAACAAACAATCAAAAGTGATGTAGTTGCTGTGGTTCTTCTCTTTTATATAACACAACGAGAGATCAAGTAATCTACCTTTCCATTTAAGAATTCTAATAGCAGGTTAAAATTCTTCCTAACTCATTAAGTAAATACCAATTTCACCAGCCAATCAATGAATAATTACAACAAAACAATTTTAATACACTCCCAAAGTGTACCAAAGATGAATCTGTATTCTGTAGATTGTTGACAGTGTTCAAAGTAGTCCCAGTTTTTTGTTCATTAATAACTTGTTCCAGTATACTTTGAGTTTCTCTTGCTCTTTCAGCCAACAGCAAGGCACATTCATCATTCATGACCGGTGAATTTGTAATATTTGTAAGTTGTGCAGTAAATCTCAACAAAAGAGAATATATCTCTGGCTCAGGATTAGCTGATAAACAAAGGATGACTCTAGTGTAACAATTCCCACCAATTTCATCATACAGTAATTTTGTCAAGTTTGAGACACTGTAAATAGTGCAAAACAAAACACAAAATAACTGTGATCGCGTAGAATCCCACAGATTTCTTGAATTTTCTAAAATTATGCTTGTTTGTCGTATGAAAATATAGAACTATAATTTGGTAGTTAGTTCATCAACTTTCTAATCTCTGAATCAAGATTCAATCAGGTTTAGTTTAATCTTGTACAGCCTTAAAAAACGAGTACCATGCATTTTTCAGAAAAATAATTAACTTTTATCCTTGTCAAGAAATTGAATACAACAAAGTCAGTTTACTTCCTGCATGTTTTCATTTATTTTTCTTGAACTACATACCAAACAAACTCAACATTATCATTGCAACCTGTAAATTTTGTTCGCTATTTGAATATTTGTCCTGTTATTATCAACCTTAATACACTACCTCAGTATACAAAAATCGAAATATTGTATTTTGAATAAAAGCTGGAAATAGTTTAGACGTTTTCGCATGAAAATCTGTGTCCTTTATCTAGCGAAGACTATACCTGGTTGTCTGTTTGTTCTGAGATAGCTAATACTAAATGCGGCATTTTATAAGAAAACGCTTTTGTCTCGTAAAAAGTTACAAGCTAATTCTTATGTAGTAGCCTAAACCTCATTGATAAAACTTTCCAGAACGAACGAGTTAAATTTTGTACTATTTAAATCATGAAAAAGTCGGCTATCACCGGTAGCTGATTAGTCTCTTCAGCTTTATCTAATTTTCAGCTAACCTTGGACAAGATAGATTCATTCACCTTGAGTGAGTCTTTATGTCTATTTAACAATCAAAAATATTTTATGAATATTTTCATATGCTTGTAGTGACCTACTTTTATCAGGAGAACGTGATTGGTGTAATGGAAATAACTATTATTGTAACCAACTGTACCAGGGATTGTTTTATCGCACTTGTTTGTTTAATTGTACCAACATACATACATTCTTCCGTTGCTTGTGACCTTGCACGAATTCGGTTAAGCTCAGTAATCACACTTGTAACCTGGCACGATCTCGGCATTCTTTCGATACCACGAAATCGCCAACAAATACATCAACTGCCTTGTGATATTTGGCCTACGGGGGATCTTATCGGTTAACTGGCGCGTAGTCTTTTTGTAGTGGTGACCATAGTCAACCGTGACTCGACGCCACACTACATGCTTGACTATAAACTATTGCAGATATATTTAATCACAAAAACCTTTTCCCTATTGTTCAGTGCTAGTTTCAAAAGCATCTGAGTAAGCAATGTACAGGTAGAATTTTAGTCTTATTAGAAATTGATTTTACTCACATCTGAAAGAAATCAAAAAGAGCCTAATCATTAATTTCTATTTTTATTATTAACAAACCGTTATTGATTGACGAAGGAACAACTGATTATGTTTTTCTTGAGGCAAAATAACTTGGTTTCCTCCATGAATTCTAGTTGGTTTATGGTAGATTATGAATCCATACTACATGTTGTGATGACAATTTTAATATTTTTGCCAAAATCTGAATGAGTTCTGCTTAGTTATTTTGTTGCTGATAGGAAAATATAGTAGCAGAAACAGTTCCATTTATTCTAAAGTCTATGTTTAGACGGTGTCAAGTTGTTGAAAAAGTCTTGACAATATTAGGTCTCGTTTAAGTATGCTTTCATGCCAATTAAAGTTAGTAAAAAACTAGAGGAGTTGCCGTACGCAATGTGTTTTCCACATAATTACAATGTAGTTTTAAATAGCTGCCCCTTGATCTGCAAAATAACGACTTATTAGGCTCTAGCTTTTAATTTTCAACAGGACTTTGATCAGCTGTATCCACATAAACGCGTTAGTCTTTATGTGTTAAAGAAGAGATTCGAAGGCAACTAATTGTGAATTTTACGACACTAAACATACGAAAATACCCACTTTCAGTAGACCAAAATGAATTCAAAATAATATGCATGCAATGTAGCAGAATGTTTGAAAGCCAACGTACAAAATGGTATAAAGAGGCCAAAAATATTTTCAATTAACAGTTACCTGTAGTTCGGAAGCTTACGAATACCCGGCTTGCCAGATGCCAATTGGAAAGAGAGGTTATACAGTGATAATAGATTCAGTGACGTATGATTCCCAAACTCGATCTCATTCTTCATAGACGGGTAAATTTTCTCAAATCCAGTGCAACACACTATGGTAAATTTACTCCTAAATGTTGGTCTCTCATTCAGACTTGCTCCCTGTTAATTTAAAAAAGTGAACAATATGAATATACGTTAAATTTGACTCGAAAAATGAAAACTCCTGGTTCTTGGTTTGATTCCTGATTGATTTTGCTAACTCCACCAAAGTAGTTTCGCAGTGCTTGTTCGCAAACATTCATAGCTTCACTAAATGAACCTATACGAGTCTCTTTAATCGGCTTGTGAGTTTGTTCGTAAGATTATTTACAAACTGATTACTTCAAGTCGGTATCCTTCGTTAATCGTAAAAGCCACCCGCAGATTATCACCCTTGGAACCCGACTCCCTCAGCAAGTCCAAAAATCCGTCATTTTGAAGGACAAAAGAGTGAAATGATAAGACGTCTTTCAAGGAATCTAAGCTGATGTCACCTTACAAATGTGGGAAGTGAATGAAAATATTATTACCATGAGATATGCTCCGAAGTATTTCCGTAACCGTTAGATTCAAAATGCCACACCTATCAGCTCGGAATCCATTTAAAAGCATATGAATTTCAGACTTGATCTCACCATAACACATTATACAAGCATTGTAACCAGCAAGAAATGCTTTAACAAGAGGCCTAAGGTGTTTTCCGAACAGTTGCACGTTTGTTGTTTCCGCATCCAGTATTTCTACAAACCTGTTTTGAATTTATTTTTAAGCAAAAAAGAACCCCATAATTGTGATTTTAAATGTAATGATTAACTGGAGACGCACCTACACGAGGTTCCATCAGTATTGCTGAACATCACTTCATTGTTTGAAAAGCTAATTGAAGAACTATACTCTTTGGAGTAAACTTTACAGAGAGCATCGATATTCATACTATGACCTTGACAATTATATAAGTACTAAAATTTGGCATGGTGATTATAAAGTCCAATATCCAATATCTTTATCAAGAGCTTGCGCAAACATTGATTTCTTTGCGCCTGCCTTCTGTTGTAACATTACTGTTCTAGGTACTTTGTTGGGTCCAATGGATGGTAGTCCAGCCACTGTATTAATCTTAGTCAGTATGTTAGTTATTTGTGGATTGTCTCAGGGCAGTAGGGTTTTTGGATACCAGCAGCTACCACATCAAAAAGTGGCAGATTACTTATTTTCAATGGGAGTATAATGAAGCGATAATACGAGTGATAAGAGATTATTGCTTCCTGAATAAATAATTAATTTGTTTAATTGATAATGTGCTAGAGGACGAAATTGAAAGTATAAGAGGCTAACAGAGATAGTAATGAGAGAGATAGGAATTAGTTACATGTTATGCCTCAATGGTAACCGCGATAGTCTGTGGAGCATACTTCTGATAAAGCCGACGCAAGAAGGTAATGATAATCTTCAAGTGTGCATGTGATTGTCAAGTCTCCTATTCAAACTATCCACCGATGGGGCTGTGGTCACTCCGGACAGAAGAGCATTCCGATTCGGGGAAGCTACCACTGATAAAAGTGGGAGAGTACCTGAGTGCTCACCGTTTGATGTGCAATCTTTCAGGGGCTGCCTTGAGGAGTGTGGTGATGATGTGTTGACATTGCACTTGCTTTGGGGGGGGGCTCCGCGTACTATTGTATGCCATTATTAGATCACCTCTTATTCCCCTTTAGCTTAGCAAGAATAATCCCAGGTGCCAGAAACTTTTCGTGCGAGATTTCTCTGTACTTTGTCCTATAGATTTATATTTCTTATGAAGAGAAGAATAGCAATGACATTGTTGACTTCAAGGTAAGGAATGTCCTTTGACATGCTTAAATAAACTGGCTGATTTCTTTCATCCATCTTCCTCTTATTTCGGTTAGGTTCGAAGCCTTTGGGATCAAGATATCTTTGTATAAAGAGAAAGGTCACATTCACTTTGGCCTCATCCCCAGTGATTATAATTCTAGATCGCTCCCTGAGGAAACAAGTGAGAGGAGATTTGTGCAGGAAACATACATTGTTTGCGTTCTGTGGGTCGAGTGTACATAACATGACATGTTGACTAGCTGAATTTCAACTCATTTTTCACTACGCGTTTCCGTATTCGGTCTTCTTGAGGCTCAAATAAATCCTTTTCGCTTCTTAAGAACTTACATATCTTATCATTAACAGTGTGCGTGAAGGTCAGCGAGTTATTTTTGTTGAAGAAGATTAGGAAGAGAAGGGGAATTGTAACAGATATTTGTAAAACTCCCAGTATCAAGATTTCTGAGTCGTGTGCACTTTTTTACTACGGTACAAATAATCGCGTTCTGCAGATTATTTCTAAACTAGTAGATCAGTAACACTCAACTTCTTGGCCTCCGTTGTAGGGAGTGCGTACAACAATGTTTCGAGAAATAACTCACGAACCGGTTTCTTTTAGTCCTAAGTGGTTGTCCGATTCTAAAACGCTAGTAGAATATTGATGGCCCGTGACCTGCCCTTCCTAAGTTCATACAGAGCTTCATGAAAGTTATTTTTGTCCACACATTTTCTTGCTCGGTCATTAGCTTGACTTTAAGTTACGTACAACGTCGAAAATAGTGCAGCTGGTCCGTGACAAAGTAAATCTGACATATCGTCATTTCCGAAGATTGAGAGTAGAGTGTCCTTCCATTCTCTGTAAAATTTATGGGGTGTATAACGATTGCCTTAATCGGTCACGAACTGGTGTGTTGATTACCCTAAGTCACAGACCGTGAATTGGTGCCACGGAGGAAGCGTATACTAAGCCTGTTAAATCCTGTTTGATCTAGTGGGGAAAGGATCCCAACATCTTTATCCTAGATGAAGAAATGAAAAAGCTACCGAATGTTCAAAGTTCATATTTACAACCGATGGAATACATACATTTTGACGCAAAATATCTAGGAATTATTTTACTCTCCCGAGTTCAGTTTTTAAAGGAGAAATCTATAAAGGTTTGGCGGATTTAGCTAATTCCTTTAAATAGTTTGATCTATTAAAATAAGGTCAAGTGAAGAGTATTGGCGACAGTGGATGCTAACCGCACAACCCTTGAACCTAAACATACAATAACTGAGAAGACTTTCATTATATTGTTGAACTTTTGGAGAATGTCCGAGAGAAAGAAACTAGACACTAATTGTACAAAGAAATGACTTCGATATTACACTTTCTAGAATCTTCATGATGGTTAAAACATAAATGTTTTGGTGGAAGCGAATATATGAATGGAAATTGAGTAATATGGGTCACTTCATCCAATGATCAATTTGGTCCATCAGTAGTGTGTCTTCTCAAGTGTGGTGATTTGGCAAAGTCTAACAGTTTCATACACACTGTCTGTGCTTAGGGTATGAACTACTTAACGAAGCCATCATTTAAATAGAAGGTATAAGGTCGGTCAATTAAAGACGACTGGATTTAATCTCATTCTACTTCATTTTATCGAAAAAGTAGCAACCAATGTAGAATCCAAACTACGGTTTGGATGTTGAAGAATAACCGTCCAGGTACGTTAGACACGCGCCCTTGCCCGTCGAAATCAAAACAAGTAAGTGGGTAAATAGCGGTTCTATAATTCATCATAAATTTAAATGTAAATCGTTACCTAAACAAATATTACCACCCGGCTATTCAACCAATAATTGCTCAACCAATCAAATCTAAATTGCAATAAATAAAGAAGTTGATAGAAGATGAGGGAAAATTACCAGTCACAAAAAATGAACGTTATTCTATCCTGACTGGATAGAACACACACAAAAGGAGGAGCAAATCAATATGGCTACCGCCAAGAACAAGTGTCAAGTAAAACAACACAGATGCAGTTCGGGAAGAAACACAAACTTAGTGAATGCGTAAGAAAAACAAAAACTATGATAAAAAATACAAGTATTAACAATTCAATGTAATCAAAATACAACAATGTACAACTAAGGGGATCAATAGGAACAAAGTACGAGTATATACATGGAGGAATTTTCGCCAACACACAAAACATTCAAAATGGATCTTACAACCAATACTTGAACTAACCAGATGAAATAACAAAAAATCTCACCTTCAAAGATACTGCGGCATATTTATCAGTATTCCGTAGCAACTGTGTTCTGTTTATTACTTGTACGTTTATTACTTAAGTCTTCTTCCAGTAGAAGCTTAAATCGTTTACTCACATGTTTGATTACATTTTAAAGCCCCGAAATTATTGAATGAAGGTGTGAGTCTCTTGAACAGATAGTGAGAGGTTAATTAGAGTGAGTTTAACATGTAGAACAAACTATACGAGAGCGAGATTGTCGAGCTAAGTTCCACCTTACGTAGATGTAACTTCATCGTATTTTGCAAGAGATGTAGAAACTTACTGTGTCTCAGTTATTTGGTTCTACGTGGGAGCATCGGAAGAAACACTGACACCACCCGTGTAAAAATTCAGTTCGTTAAGAAAATCAAGTTTGAAAGTCATACTTTTTTTCACTGACGCATGACTGCTGTAATACTCTGTCAGTCGACGCAATCTTTCATCAAGGTAGACGATGGACATTAGCATGCATACATACAGACGGATTTTCTCTGGTTGGAAGGCATTTTGAATGCATGAGGTCACGTAATGTAATCATCTATTTCATTTTACTACATGTTATCTGCTTATTGTATCCCGTAATGACATATATTTTTAAACCATCAGAACAGAATTGGGATTTACTCTCTCTCTCTTCCTCATATTTGTGGCCAAATATAAGCTATCGAACAGCGTCTAAGTTACTGTGACTCAAATATCATGTAATATGATTTATTCATCAATCTTATTCGAACCAACTAACAGTAGTCGGATAGTTCTTCCAACCTTGACGAATTATGCCACGCAATGGAATGTAATCATGTACATCAAAAAACAAGCACAAAGATACAAACTGACTCGTCAGGGTTTGACCCAACAACCTGAAGTTTGTTTAGAAGAACTTTGTACCTCCCCAAAAGAAAAATTCACAGCAAAGCGCAGATGTGTTTGCAAGGTTGGAGGTAACTACACTATATCCTCTTGTATACTAGTACATCGATTAACTACTGCGTAAAATTCAACCCTAATATTTGGTAACGGCTTTTGAATATAATGGTGATCGCTCACTTAACCTGTATCCGAATGATCGGATAAACTGAGAAATCCCTACGACTACGTGATAAACAGATGTAGTTTAAGGAATGGAAAGCTGGAGGTTATGTAAGTCATTTACTGTGACACCTTTTAATGAGCCTGGTATGCTCTTAAAGGATAAATGGTAAGACTCCTGAACAATTACTCCAGTCGGCATACTTCAAATTGTCAATTAGTCTAAAGGGAAGACCTTCATTGTGTAGAAACCCATTAGTCCCTGACTTTTTAATCTCTTGTGTTACTCTAACCTAGTTGTGGGTAAAAGAAAAAACTATATCAGACCGAACTGCACTTCCTGGTTTCATAAGCGTTTTAAAAGTTTGATCTTAAATCCATAGTAATGTGCGGAACCCTGGACCTCAAACCGTCACAAACGACAATGAACAACAGTGAGTCTTAGTCTTCACGTCGTGACCTGAAGGATATTTATACAGATTCTGTGTCATCTATAACACTCAGTGCTTTGAACTTTATCGAACGGTCTTGTGAAGTCAGCCCAGGTCATTTTCACTAATAGTACTTAGTATAGGGGCTTGGTTCGGCTTCCTCTCTCATTGTCATGAGATTTGTAAATCTCTGGAAGTCATTTCCAAATCAATGGCAGACCATGTTATGCAATCAGCAGAATAGTAGGGGGGTTGAGATTTTCTCATCAGAATGGCATTTTCCGAAGTTCAATTGAACATTTACTGTAAGATCCATTTCGAAGGTTTTGTGTGTTGGTGAAAATTCCTCCATGTA